TTTTAGGGTCTCCTGGCATAATGTACACCTCTACACACTCGATATATTCACATCACATTCAAGTCACTGACTAATGTCTCTGCCACACTAGACCATAAAATCAAGCTCATGAGAACACATATGGTTTTGTTTACCTCTGATAGACACAGGATATCGCATGGCAAAGAGCAAGTGTTCAAACAATATTTGCTAAAGAAACACAGGAAAAGAAGAAGTGAGAAAGGGAAAGAGAGCCTCAAGGAAGAATACCTTAAGCAATTATCTCCATTTCAGTTGGCCTGGGTTCTAGAAAATTTCAGAACATTTGTGCTACTATACATTACTTCCATGATACCCCAAGAAAAAATGAACAATAAATTAATAAACAACCAAATGAGAAGGAAAGAAGCTTTACCTAACAGTGATAGAGTGCAGAGGTTACTAATGTATGTATTCCTGCTTTAAAAACACAACCTGGCCAGGAGTAGTGGCACACGCCTATAATCCCAGCAGCTCGGGAGGCTGAGGCAGGAGGTTTGTGGGTTCAAAGCCAGCCTCAGCAAAGGCGAGGCACTAAGCAACTCAGTGAGACCCTGTCTTTAAATAAAATACAAAATAGGGCTGGGGATGTGGCTCAGTGGTTGAGTGCTCCTGGGTTCAATCCCTAGTACCCCAACCCCGACCCCTCAAAAAAAGAAGACAACCTGGTTGAGAGATTAAGATTCTCTAAATCTCCCCAAAAGTGTTAAGGTGATGGTGACACTAATACACCTCTAACACAGATACTAGAAATCTAAATTTACTATCAAGAGAATGGTTTCCCATAAAACACTTACGGTAAGAACTACTAAATCTGACCTACATAATAAGAGCTAATATGCCTTTCAGTCTTTAAGATTTCAGGGTACAAAATGCTTTCTCAAAAATGAAGATAATAAGGTGATTAAGAGTCAATGAGTGTACAACCAGAGACAACAAAAATTGTGTTTCATATGTGAAATATGAATTGAAATGCATTCTGCTGTCATATATAACAAATTAGAATTTAAAAAAAAAAAAAGTTAGGCTTAGGTTGTGGCTCAGCGGTAAAGCACTCACCTAGCACATGTGAGGCCCTGGGTTCCATCCTCAGCACCACATAAAAAAATTAATAAAAAATAGGTATTGTGTCCAACTACAACAAAAAAATTAAATATTTTTAAAAAGAGTAAATGAAACTGAACAAGAAAGGAAGAAAAGAACAAATAGGGGTTAGAATTTGTAACCTTTGTACCTGAAAAAACTATGGAGGTTAAAATGAAGTGATTCTTAATGCAATTGCCAAATTTCTGTAAACAAGAGTYAACTGGGATTGTAGGTTTTTATACCCTCTCTAACAGAACTAGAGTTAGGCTCCTTGCTACTATCAAGTAAATAAAATAGTATCTTCATCTATTTATTTTAATAATAAAAAGCAATGTCAACTAACATTTTCTGAGTCTAAGATGGCTTTTCCACAAAAGGAATACATGAAAACTTATATGTATTTTCTCCTAAGAAAGCTTTCTATTTTCAACCATAATTCTAGGATAGTTTTATTTAACTTGATTGCTTGTAAAACTAATTCTTTTCAAAAATGTTCCCCAAAAAGTGGAAGGAAAAGGGCAAACTCTGGTAGCAAATAAACTTTGGAAAGACGTTTTCTTTTGTTTTTAAAAGAAGCATACATTTATATTCCAACTTATATATTCAAACATTAAAAACAATGAGGCAGGAGGATCCCAAGTTCAAGACTAGCCTCAGCAACTTAGCAAGGTCCTGAGCAACTTAGTGAGACTCTGTCTCAAAAAATACAAGGGCTGCTATGTGGCTCAATCGTTAAGAAACCCTGGATTCAATCCCAGGTACAAAAGAAAGAGAAAGATAGAGACAGAGAGACAGAGAGAGAGAGAGAAAGAGAGAGAGACAGAGAGACAGACACACACACACAGACACACTGTACCACAAAATTTGGCTAAGCTACTATTTTCTTAAACATTACAAAATCCAAGTAATACTTTTGGGGGGAATGCTCCCAGCTCAGAAAAGCTTTCTAACAACTCAACAATTTCATGACTTGTTCCTCTGAAACCTTTACTATAAAACACATTTTATGTCCTGTCAAAAAAAGTAGCTTTGCGCAGTGGCAGTATCGTAGCCAATGAGGTTTATCCAAGGTGCAATTATTGCTAATTGAAAAAAAGTCAATTAGAAGCTGGGCATAGTAGCACCTGTAGTCCCACCTACCCAGAAAGCTTAAACAGGAGAATCATGAACCTAACAGTTCAAGACCAATCTGGGCAGCACAGGTGAGACAACCCCTGCCTTCCTTCTCCAAAAAAAAAAAAGTGAACCATATACATTCAATATACAAATTTGTAATCTTAAAGATGGCTCAGCTTCAATTTCAATAAAGTATTGTTTGTATATTAACAAAACCCTGCCTGGGCCTTGTTATGTCCTTAACAAATTTCAATAATTTATGATTCTTATGAAATAGGATTACCAAAACACATGCCCTTCTCTCTAACAACTTCAGGGAAAAAAACACATTTGTATTAAAATTGCCAACTTGTTGATTTAGTCTTTCATTTACTAGAACACTGATGTTTAACTTAAAAGATATGTAGATTAACCCTGGACTCATTCTAATTTCTATTAACTAAGCACAACAAAACTGAAAAATAAAGGTAGCAAAAATGAATTAATATCTTAGAAAGGAAGTCACAAAGTGAGAAACAAAGCCTTTTATCACATTTTACAACTTTGTATGTGTGGCCGGATATTACAAGAGACAAACTTTCTTAACCAGAGAATTAAGAAGAAAGTAGGCAAACTTGTAAACTCACAAATAGAGTAATAATTTCAAAACAGAAAAAAAAAAGAAGAAAAATTATATTAGGGGCTGGGGATGTGGCTCAAGCGATAGCGAGCTCGCCTGGCATGCGTGCAGCCCGGGTTCGATCCTCAGCACCACATACAAAACAATGATGTTGTGTCCGCTGATAACTAAAAAATAAATATTAAGATTCTCTGTCTGTCTCTCTGTCTCTCTCTTAAAAAAAAAATTATATTAGAAGCCTAAGCTTGGAGTACAACTAAATAATAATTTTTTAAAAAGTAATAGCAATTATCTTCAAAGCTTTCAAGTTCAAACTTGCTTGTATTCTTTCAATAACTGCTATATAAATCAGGACAAAAACAGCACAGAAATTCAAAATGGGTGATGAAATAATAAAATTACTAGCAATTTGATCATTTTTCGTCTTGCTACTGAATTCCTAAAAAAACACCTTTTTCTGACTCTTTTAAAAATCATATAGCATAAATTTCCTTAAATTCACCTCTTTTAAGAATATTTAGAACAAGGTCTCTGATAAGGAAGCAAAAAACTATCATTCTCACACCGTTCAGTTAAGAATATATTCTTGGGCAGGGGGGTTAAAAATCTTTAAAACAATACATTCTTAGGCAGGCACGGCGGCACACGTCTGTAATCCGGTTTGCTCGAGAAGTTGAGACAGGAAGATCGCAAATTCAAAACTAGCTTCAGCAACAGCAAGGAGCTAAGCAACTCAGTGACACCTCGGGGATGTGGCTCAGTGACCAAGTGTCCCTGATTTCAATTCCTGGTACCCCCCCAAAAAAAAAGACTTATATTCTTGGATTTTAGAAAATATTGCTCTGTACAAAAGCACCACTACAAAAACTATCTTTGCATAGAAGCTCAAATAATCAAACTCACTCCACGACATTTCAGAGCAATGGGAAAGGAAGAAATAAAACAATGACAATAACAAAAACAATTTTGATGCCTACCCACGAACACAACTTCATTCAGTTCCTCAAAGGTATAATATCATCACTTAAGGTTGAATCAGTAAGCAGGTTCTATCCCCAAGAAAACATCAGTAACTACATAACTTAAGAATTTAAATTAAATCTTACAAGCCATGAATTATATGAATTATAAAATCAGGAGAAACCAGGCAAATCTCAAAAGATGGATGTATCTAATTTCTTATCACTTTCCCCCTCCTTCACTTAACTGTACACACTGGCCTTGTTGGCTGTTGCTCCATAGGGCCTCAGTCCTGACCACTGCCTTGCCTTCTAGGAAATGTTCTTCTGCCAGGTCTCTTTTTGGCTGTCATCTCCTCAGAAAGGCCTCTCTGACTAATGTCTTTAAAGAAGCCCCATTTGTCTTAAAGCTACATGCCCAGCCTCTAAAACAAGATGTGATGTAAGTGCTAATGAGTACAGAAACAATTTCAGTAATATAAAAACAAGTCTGATAATCTAAAAACAAATATATAACAAAATATCTCATGCCCAGTCCCACCTTGAAGTTTTAAAAAAGAAATAAAAATTTTAACTTTCTGATGAGATTCTCAATATTGCCTGCTTCTAGAAATAACTAAGTTAAAGCATGGCCAATTTTGAATATAAAAATGTATCTTAATTCATAGCAAATATATGATGATTCCATGCAACATGGAGTCTGTAAAGATCTGATGACACAAGAAAAGACGAAAGTAACTTTGGTATTTGTTTCTAATATAGGCACAGGTATTTTAAAGTATAAAAGGCACAATGCTCCAGACTCTGGAGCCATAAGTATGCAAAATAATTAGTGTGCAAAATAAAGTAAAGGATTCAGGCTCTACAGGACCAAGTTACATCATGGTTTAAATAAAAATTAAAAGTCTAAATTTTACTTGGTCAGAACATCTAGAAATAATAATTTCTACACAGCATCATTCCAGTTGCAAGTTAGTCCAAACAGTTTTCATTTACACATACTCAAAACCAGTTTTGGAAAAAGAAACAAAACACTCATCAATCAAATAATAAATCACAAGATCCACCAGCACAATTGGTTATTAGATAAATGTTTTAAGTACAAAATATTAAATGAGGACCAAAATTTTCCTCAACATCTGCTACTTACATAAAATACCTGGATCTCACATAAAATATTATCTATAATCAAAATGACTTACCGTTACAGATTTAAGTGTCATGCCATGGTAGGTACCCATAGTGTCAATTTTAAAGCCTTCCGTTTCTACAAAGAAAAGCAGTTTATTGTTAAGACTTTAGATATTATATGATAGATAAAAAAACTAAAGTAAGAATTTCCATTATATCTCAAAGTTCAACAGTACAACAAAGTCCTCAATTTACTATATATAAAGGTTCATTATAATCTTGTAAACATAAAAACGTTAAGACACTGGTCTCAAAAAATATAATCAATACACACTAACAAGTATAGTGCACAGAAGTTCATTAAGACTCTGAGATTATGTTCAAAAATGAGACTGAATAAAATACTTTATAACCCCCAAATTATTTGCTAATACTCAATGATAATACCCTTGAAAGCATCTAATATTGAGAAGTCCCCAAGTCAAAAAACAGTTGTGCACCAAAGTTACAAATAATATATTTTGTAGGAAACAATCTTGTAAATAATGATAAGAGTTTATGGATATCATCCCAATATACCTTTTTGTGAAGGGGACTATAATAAATATTTTACATACTGCAGGCCATAAAGTCTCTGTTACAATTACTGAATTCTGCAGTTGTAGTGGGGAAGAAAAAAAGAGAAATGATATTATGTGTACAAACAGAGCAGCTGGTTTGGCCTATAAAGTGTCAGATTTTGTCTGAAGGCTGCTTTGTATTAATCCATTCCATAAAAAAACACTGCAATGAATAAAACAATGAAATACTATCTTTCTATGACATGTACTCATGGTATGCATTTATTCAGTGTATGAAGTCAGCACACAAAATTCACTGCATTGAGACATCACCATCCTTTAAAGGAACTTAAGGGAGATTTCAGATTATGCAGAAAATAGTAAAGTGAAAGTTCCAGTGCTTCTACCTCAAAGTTTCATAAATCAAGATGAATAAAGATCTCAAGAGGAACTGATGTTAGTCTCACCTCACAGCATTTTTTATGTTTTTATTTTTCTATTATTATTATTTTGTTTTGGTACTGTTTGATATTGTATTGTTTTGTTTTGGTATTGTTTTGTTTTGGTACTGAGCTACATCACCAGCCCTTTTTATTTTTTATCACTAACAGCTTGCCAATATAGAAATGGCTCACTATTATATTAGCCCAAATATCCTTGGGCCATCACAAAATAGAGGTCACACTATCGCTCCAAGTCTATGCTTCCGAAGTTCTAAATGTATGTATTTAAAATTTAGCCAGGCACAGTGGCACACACTTGTAATCCCAGTTGCTTGGGAGACTGAGGCAGAAGGATGGCGAGTTCAAAGCCAGTCTCAACAAACCCAAGGCGCTAAGCAACTCAGTGAGATCTTGTGTCTAAATAAAATACAAAAATGGGTTGGGATGTGGCTCAGTGGTCGAGTGCCCCTGAGTTCAATCCCCGGTATCCCACCCCACCCCAAAAAAAWTTTTTTTAAATAGAATATGGAAAACATGATTTGATGTCTAGAATCTCTATTCTAAAATAAATAGTTTTTTACATACCAGACCCTATTCTAAAGACCTTATTAACTGGTTAATGTCCAACATAACTCTAATAAGAGATAGGTACTATTACTATTAGGGTTGTAATTACAGACAAGTGGAAACTAAGATGGGATGCACTTGAAGTAACATTAAAATTTCAACAGAAATTAACAGACACGAGCATATCTGGATCCAGAATCCAAACTACTAACAAGGAGTTTACCAATCTTCTGTAAAGGCCAAAAGCTTTGCAGGCTACATAAGGTCTGTAACAACTCAACTGTGCTGTTGCAGAGTTAAAACAGTCACAAATTAAACATGAATTAAATGTGGCTGTATTCTAAAAAAAACAAAATACTTTTACAAAAAACAGTAAGGGCTGGGGTGGTGGCTCAGTGTGAGGCACTGGGTTCCATCTCAGCACCACATGTAAATAAATAAAAATAAAAGTCCATTGACAACTAAAAAATATTTTTAAAAAAACCACAGCCAAATTTGGCCTGTAAAGTTACTTTGTAAACACTTACTCTTAAACATGAGACTCCTTAATATACTAACTCTCAAGGTCAGCACAACAATAAAGGGAGCAACTTGCCTTCTTTTCCTTTGAATCTTTCTTGGTCATATCTGTTGTAGGCAGCTGGGATAGGCTGTTTAGTACGCAACGTAGGATCCTGTAGAAAGATAAATTATGAGTTACAAGTTAATATTTTAAATACTGGTTAATAATCATAATTAAAAACAAAATAGAAATATTTATATTCTAAGCTATTTGTCTTAAAATAGCCAGTAAGGCTGGGGTTTTAGCTCAGTACTAGAGTGCCTGCCTAGCATGGGTGAGGCACTAAGTTCGATTCTCAGCACCACATATAAATAAATAAATAAAAGGTCTGTTAACAACTTAAAAAAAAAAAAAAAGCCAGTAATACAAAAAGTAGTGAGGAGACCACTTGATGACCATTAATCATTTTTGAGACACTATTTATGAGTAAAAACTTAATATCACTACCAAGAATTACCAATCCAAAACTGCATAATTTAATTTGAAAATACTTTATCCAAAACTCAGTCTATAATGAAAGGGTCACATGGCAGATGATTAGGGAAAATTCAGTCACCAACCTATCATAGATAGAAAAGATGTCAAAATAAGTCCCAACTCAAGAGTAATAGAGATTTATATTTTAAACAATGGTCAATTGTCTCACATAACAATAAGTAGGCCAGATACAGTTTACCTAAAATAATTACTCAGAGGGTTTCTCCTACTTAACCCATTCATACCAGATATGGCAAGGTATATTTTCTCAGTCTTAATGACACCAGAGTTCCTGCTGAAGTAACTTTTCATGCTGAAAAGAGTCTTCACATCATTAAGGTACACCAAAGCAGCTTTACAATATAATTTAAAACTTTAAGATATCTTCAAAACTACAACACTGAAATTTTTGTTATAAAAATGGCAATAAAACTACTATATAAGGTGCAAAACATTCTTACCACAGGTGCTGCATTTGGAGCTGGTCGCTGTTCAGGCGCACGCCCTTCCTCCCTGGCTTTGACAGACTGAAGAATTGCAAAAATATTCTTGGAAAAATTCTAAAATATAAATGGATTCTGATTAAGTCCACTTAAAATTAAATATGCGAAGACAGTAAATTTACTTAATAAGCAATTATGATTAAATTTTCCTCCTATCAGTTCTTTCCGACTTTACCATATTAAGATACCATTATCATTGCTATGGTTTAGACGTGGTTTGCCTCCCCAGTGATTCATGTGCTGGAGATTTACTTGTTCCTTGGTGTGGTGATAATGAGGTGATGAAACCTCTAAAAGGTGAGGCCTAATAGAAGGTAATCAGGTCATTGGGGCACTGTTCTTGGAAGGGATTAAAGCTTTTCTTTAATAATTCTTCATAATGGGTTGTTACTCAGCAAGGATAGGCATTCACTTGTCCCCTTCTTCATGCAGTCAATTCCTTTTCCATTTCTCTGCCATACTGTGATCTAGCTAAAGGGGCTTCACCAAAGGCTGAACAGATGAGGCTGCTCATCCTTGGACTTTCAAACTCTTAAAACTGTGGCCTAAAAGAATCTTCCATTTTTTTTTTTCTTCATTTCACACCCACACCCCTGCCCTGTGCAGGAACCTTGCACATGCTCACTAATCCTCTACCACTTTGCTATAATATGCCTAGTTCTTAACTTCTTTTCTTTATAGAGTACCCAGTGGCAGGCATTACATTACAGTAATGGAAAACACAATGAGACAGTTAAGCAAAAAAGAATCATCCAACTACTACTAGAAAATTCATCCAGAGACCAATTATTATAAACGCAGCATTATTCATTTCATTTTCTCATTTACTTAAATAGCAATTTTTATCTACAACTTTATTCATATTCTGTATCTAATAAAATGCATAACCAGCAAACAAGCTAAAATAAAAATATAACATTTGCTGTCAAAAGTGGTACCCTAATTTTGACAGAAATCAACAATATCCTCCTGTAAGTAAAATAAACTCTAATATTAATTTCAGATTGTCATGGATTATATTAGATGTTGAAAGTTCTCAGATACTGTTAGACATCAATGTGAACACTGAAAAACAAATCAGAAAAGTTGGGAAGTATTTACTAATAAACTTAGAATAAATTTTTGTATGAATAATCTTAGCAACATTAGACACAACTAGTGGAGTATGCTTCCTTTATGAAATATTCTTCCTTGGCCTTTGAGACACTATTCTTTCTTGTTTCTTTTCCCTCCCTGATTCTAACRGTTCCCATGGGGCTTTTCTTTCTGCTTATCAATCACTCAGAAGTTTAAGGAATATTTAAGACTCTACTATAAGCCAAAAACCTTGATTGATACTCAAAAGCAATGACAAGATCAGCAAAGACAYGGTGCCTGCCCTCATGAACCTCCAATGCAATGTAATTTCTCTACTACAGAAAATTAAGCATTTGTTTCCTTGTCTTAGACCACTTTTCCAACCTTATCACTTCAAATACTCACTAGTTTTTTTTAATACTTATTTATTTATTTATTTATTTGCTGGTGGATCTTTATTTTCTTTATTTATATGCAGTGCTGAGAATCGAACCAAGTACTCCATACATGCTAGGCAAGCGCTCTAACACTGAGCCACAACCCCAGCCATACTCAGTAATTTTTAAACTTTAAGTATCATTCTCTCCACTGTCTTCTTAAGTTAGATGCCCTTACTGGATGTCTACCTATCATGAGCATGTCTTAATTACTGCCCTATTTATTTAACTTTTTGTCTTCTGCCCAAAAATATAACCTCTGATATCTAGGACAAATACATCTCCAGATAGTGCCTAGCACTTGCTTGGTTTGTATATATTAAATGAATACTACACAAATAAAAATATATAAAAAATGAGATGTGCCTTTTAAACATAACTACTACCATCGTATTAGGTACAAAAATATGCAATTTTGTAATTCTTTATAATAGCAAAACAGGTCTCAGAACTCCTTTGCACTCCTAGAAATTACTAAGGACCCTAAAGACCCTAGTTTGTATGAATTATAAAATTTATCATATTGAAAAACTGAAACTGACAAATTTATTTATATAAATATATATATACACACACACACACACACACACATATATATATATTTTAGTGGTAGTTGGGCACAACACCATTTATTTACTTATTTACTTACTTACTTATTTATTTATATGTGGTGCTGAAATGGAACCCAGTGCCTGGCACGTGCTAGGCCAGCACTCTACCACTGAGCCACAACCGCAGCCCAACCAATTTTTAATATATAACCCATTTGAAAACAAGAAAAACATGATTGCATGTAAACTTAGATGACAATTTTATTAAAAAATTATTTTCCAAAATGTACAAAACAGTAGCAACAAAAAGGACACTGTTTTAAATTTTTCCAAGTCTTTAATATCTCTGGCTTAATAAAAGATAGCTATATTCTAATATCTGCTTCAACAATCTTTGCCGTGCTATCTGGCTTGATCAAAGAATATTTTTTTTTTTGGAGAGAGAATTTTTTAATATTTATTTTTTAGTATTTGGCGGACACAACATCTTTGTTTGTATGTGGTGCTGAGGATTGAACCCAGGCCACACGCATGTCAGGCGAGCGCGCTACTGCTCGAGCCACATCCCCAGCCCATTGATCAAAGAATATTGAGAAAATGTAGCTTCACACAGTTAGAAAAGAGAGGGATATAATTGTTTTCAGATAACTGTGGATATTCTTTGGTATCATACTAAAACAAAACCATATGATCAGTTGTTGATCTGTATATGGAAGCCTCAACTATAAATTTATTTTATTACTACTTTAAAATTCAGTGGTTTATTTTGTACTTTATGTGGATTGTTTTTAAATCCATGTTCTAGTCATCTGGAAAAATATCAATCACTGTTATGCATATTTTCCAAATGTTAACAAGTTGCATTATACAGTATCAACAAATTATATTTATTATTATATTTGCATTTTATTTGTTAATATAACTCATAAAAAATATATCAAAGAGTCTAAGAATTACAAAACTGTTAAAGTCATAGAAACAAGAAAAATTTCTCAAAAAATTTAATTTTCTCATGAAAGCTCATATTTTATCATTGGCAATAAATATCGTCACTTGCTTTCCTTAAAGGAACAGACTTCTTTCCTTCTTTTTGAAAAAAATATGTCTGCCAAATACCCAAGTCTAAATAAGTTATTCAAATAAAAAATGGTTTTCTGTGAAAATGCAGCTGATTTAACTGACAATTCAAATAGCACAGTGCTATTAAGGTGTACCGTATTTTGATATCCAGAACTGCAATATACATTTCAGTCTTATTACATAAAATACTAAAAAAGATTTACTAAATGGTCAAGGTTTAACAGAATTAATTTCTTTAATTTTTAATTTTTTTTTTTTTTTTTTTTTTTTTTTTTAGTTTTAGTTTTAGGTGAACACAGTATCTTTATTTTTATGTGGTGCTAAGGATCAAACCCAGTGCCTCACACATGCTAGGCGAACATTGAGCCACAACCCCATCCCCTAAAAGAATGAATTTTAAAACCTCATCAAGAACATCATCATGGGGCTGGGACTGTGGCTCACTGGGAGAGCACTTACCTCACATGTGTGACGTGAGGCACTGGGTTCAATTCTCAGCATCGCATATAAATAAATGAATAAAATAAAGGTCCATCAATAACTAAAAAAATGTAAAAAAAAAAAAAAAAAAAAGAACATGATCAGGATGAAGAACACAATGCTTACTAATAAAGTTTGATGCCACTGCCTTGTTTCAAGCCAGTTTTACCAGCTATTGCTTTTACACCAGACTGAAGGCCAATAGTAAGAAATGCAAATACAACCTTAGTATTATTATGAAAATAAAAACATGAAAATCCAATCTTGCCGGGCACAGTGGCACACACCCATAGTCGCACTGGCTCAGGATGCTGAGACAGGAACATACAAATTTAAAGCCAGCCTCAGTAACAGAGAGGTGCTAAGCAACTAAGTGAGACTCTGTCACTAAATAAAGAACAAAGTAGGGCTGGGGATGTGGCTCAGTGGTTGAGTCCCCTTGGGTTCAATCCCCAGTACCAAAAAAAAAAAGAAAAAAGAAGATCATATCTCACTACTTTAAAAATAATAAAATACTGAAAAACTCTAATTCTAAAAGAATCCATTGAAATGTTATTATTACCTATTTGTTGTTTGGTAGAATTACAAGTAATTATCGTCACCTGCCTTATACTGCTATGGTTTGTGTTCTGCAAAATTTATATGGTGGAAACTTAATCCTCAGTGCAACAGTGTTAAGACCTTTCATACTGATCAAGCAGGAATTGAGTGGATTACATACTATGGGAGTGACTTTCAGATAAAAAGATGAGTTCAATCCCCTTCTATCTTTCTGTCCCTCACTCTTTCTCATCCTTGTGTTACCTTCTACCATGTTATGTAGTAAGAAGACCATACTATATGTGGTCCCTTGATCTTAAACTTCCCAGCATTAAGAACCATGAGCCAGGGCTGGGGATGTGGCTCAAGCGGTAGCGCGCCCGTCTAGCATGCGTGCGGCCCGGGTTCGATCCTCAGCACCACATACCAACAAAGATGTTGTGTAAGCCGAGAACTAAAAAATAAATATTGAAAAATTCTCTCTCTCTCTCTCTCTTTCTCTCCTCTCTCACTCTCTCTTTAAAAAAAAAAGAACCATGAGCCACATATATTTCTGTTCATTATAATTTATTCAGTCTATAGTATGTATTCTGCTTTTAGCAGCACAAAATAGAATAAGGCATATACTAATTTGTAGAAGCTTAAAAACATGTTTTAATGGCACAGTAAAGTCGGTTTACTTTATTTGGAGTGCTTGCAATGATTTAATTATATAAAAAGAAGTGTTCGTATTTCTCATGAAAGTTTCCACCTATCCTTTTTTTCCTGTCTTTTCTCCCTAAAACTCAGAAAATAAGAAGACCTTAATAATTAGCAGCAGTGATGTTCTAAAATTTATAGGACTCTAAGTACTTAACAGTATTTTTCACAGCTTAACAGATAAAAACAGTATACAAACTGATTATSAGTCCAAATATGATTTTATATTTAAGAAGATTAAATCACAGAGGTACAGTTATTAAACAATTCTTAATTATTAACTTACTTTTAAAAAGACACAATGGTACCCACAAACTGTATTAAATTAGAACAGTTTTGAAATTGTGGTACAATCCTGCCATCTAGAGCTCAAAGAAAATTATTCACCTAAGTTATTTGAAAATTTAATTTTTGTTTTAAAAGAAAGGAGAGGCACCTGTTTTATTTCCTTAATATAAATTTAAGATTTTCAATAATTAAAACAATAAGTCACAGTATTATTCAAGTATTAGTCATATTAGGCCATGAAAATAAATATAATATTGTTTTATTATAAATAACAAAAATGGAAAATGGGAGTTTTCTCATATGCTCGAATTTATCTACAATTCTAAGATCTAGAGAATGACTGTTAAAAGTACTTTTTGAAGTAAGTCAAATACAAAAGAAATGGAAATAACTGTTTTCATATACAGTCTTTTCAAGTAGCTATATTCCTATTTAGATAGCACAGTAAATTTAAAGCTAAAATTTCAACATTCTACAATCAAAATCATTCTGCCTCAAACAATGTTAAAGTCAGTTTCATCAATAATCCCACACAATTCTTCAAATGTTCCTATCAAACCATCACTATTACCAACTTTGCATCAGTGGAGAACTAAGAGAGAACGTATTGTAATCCCTGTAACTCAGGAGGCTAAGGAAGATCACAGGTTGGAGACCAACCTCAACAATTTATGAAGAACCTAACCAAATTAGTGAGATTCAATATCAAAATAAAAAACAAGAGTAGTGCAGGCATGGTGGCAAACACCTGTAATCTCAGTGGCTTGGGAGGCTGAGATAGGAGGACCAAGAATTCAAAACCAGCCTCAGCAAAAGTAAGGTACTAAAAGCAACTCAGTGAGACTGTCTCTAAATAAAATACAAAGTAGGGCTGGGATGTGGCTCAGTGGTCAAGTGCCCCTGAGTTCAATTCCTGGTACCCAAAAATAAATAAATTAATAAAAGTAGCTAGGAGGTGTAGCTCAGTGATTAAGTGGTTCTAGAAGAGAGAGAGAGAGAGAGAGAGAGAGAGAGAGAGAGAGAGAGAGAGAGATATCTGAGGGAAGGGGAATTGGAATATGAGGACTGGATGACGTAGATGAAAATATGTAAATAAAACAGAATTAATGCATCCATTTTTTGAGAGATCTATTAAGATACCAAACCATCCAGAATCAAACATCTATATTCCAAAATTTTAAATGTACATCTTTTTTGATCAAAAATTTGTTTTTAAGAATCCTTAAGTTGGGCTGGGGATATGGCTCAAGCGGTAGCGTGCTCGCCTGGCATGCGTGCGGCCCGGGTTCGATCCTCAGCACCACATACAAACAAAGATGTTGTGACCGCCAATAACTAAAAAATAAATATTAAAATTCTCTCTCTCTCTCTTAAAAAAAAAAGATTTAAAAAAAAAAAGAATCCTTAAGTTGTATGGACATAAATGAAAAAAGACACATGTACAAAGGTTTTTTTTTTTAATGTGTTATCTCTAACACTGAAAAGAAAGGGAAGGAAAAAGAGAATGAGGAAAAATGGAAGAAAACAGAAGAGGAAAGGAGTCAGGGAAGAAAAAGAAAGGGGGAGCAAAGCAAGGGAGAAAATAAAACCAACCCCACATACTGAAACAAAACAAAAATATCTCCACTAATAAGGAGGTTAATAATAAAAAAAATTCCTATATCCCTAAAATAGAATCTAATGTTTAAAATATACTCAATAAATATTTAGTGATTTCTGTAAGTTTTCTACTTTATAAGAATAAAATTAATGATGGTATCAGTTCTCTGATGATCAGAGAACTCGCCATTCGATATTCTCTAATTATGAAGTTCAGGCAAAAATCTGATTCAAAAGAGAACTGGGACACTCCATATTTAAAAAAGACGTGTGAAGGGGCATGTATCTTAACTCACACAGCTTCTCTGGTGACCAATAATAGAACGGTAAATATGGCCATTTGGCAATTTACATTACTCCTGATCTTTCAAAGAAATAAAACATGAAATTTCCTAATATAAAATTTTAACCAATTCTACAACTAATCACAAGATTAAACATACACACTCATTTTACAAGTGGGTGAAATATTTTTATTACCTTTCCTGTACTCTGTAATATAGTTGTTCGTGTCCTCCACACTCTCTCTCTGCTGACTATATCTCGAGTCACATCCACCTCAGCGTCCACAAAACTCCTCTGTTTAAGGGCAGTTATGTCATCATCTAGATCAGTCTTGATAGTAGATCTTTTCTTAGCCATAATTTTAGCTTTGATTGCAGCAATTTTTTCAACTGACATAGCTTCAGACAAAGACCTAAAAGCAATTTATTTTTTTAATTCTGACACCAAAGTTTCCTTGAACATATCATATATTGTTATATTTATAAATTTCTGGTAAAATTGTTTTTAAGTGGCACTTCTCATCTCAAACTGACATAGTTGATATTCTGTAATCATATAAGATTTTTATAGATAAGGGTACACACACAGACAATATCTATTGAACAAATTCATACTTTCATAGGAAAGATCAACTCAACAAAATTCCTCAGAAGTTTTTCATCTCTCCCTCAAAAGACCTGAATTCATTAATATGGGTGCTTTTTTTTCATATTTTATGAAATTTTACTACCTACTCTAGCTCTATATCTACGGAAATTACACACARATACACACACTCATGCCACCTGTAAGGGGGCCAAAAATTCAACCTGTAAAAAGTGCGGGAGCTTGGATTTTCCTTAAAATTTATTTCAAGGTTACAAACCTACATGCCATTGTACACATCATATTTTATAGATGAAGAAGCTTTTTAAATACCACAAAAAACACAATCATTTTAATCTCTGGAAAATGATACCATATTTTGAAGTTTCTTAATATTCCCTTTACTTGATTTTCAAATAGGTAAAAGAGCAAAGAAAGACCATGCTTTCAGAAACTATTAAAAAAAAAAACTCTTAATACTGAAAGTATGGACTTTATAAGATGATAATCTTAAGCACAGTGTTTTTATAATATAAAATGACAAAGAGAAAAAGTGGTTGAGTACCTTAATAACTGTAGACAAAAATATTACTTTAGTCACAAGATGAAAATCTTGAAATACGTTTACATAAGATCTGGAAAAAGGATGGAAATTCCTGCAGGTTTAAATACAGTAGTATTATATAATATACTAATTTTATTTAGAATAGGTATGCAGGTACTTTATAGCAGATGCAATACACATCAGGTATTTGACTCATTTTGTATAACATCACACAATGTTCCCCTAAAACCTAGAGCATACCAAAGTATCTTTAAACAAATTCAAATACTTTTCAAAACTACTTAATCAAGCTTGCCTTAAACTTTCAATTATTGGACTTTCACTTCTAGCCAAGATGAAGTAAAAGAAACAGGATTAATCCCTCCAACTTGAAAAGTTTTCATGTCAAAATACATGAAACAATGGATGACTACACACTAGCTACCAAGCCATAAAGGATAGTGATTCCCTGACAAATGACCAAAAAACAAGGTAATTCCGACAGCTGCCTCTACTTACTGCCTTGAAAATATCCAAGACTTTGGAATTCATAGGCTAGAGCTTCTGAGAAAAAAGAACTGAAGAAGATCTCCTTGAGTATTCCCAACAAAGTATGGATTAGCATGTAAGTATGAGGAAACCATCTCAACCTGAGCAAAAGAACCACCCCAGAGGTTTGGAGGGAATAATGCATGCCCAGTGTTCACAAGGAGTTCTCCTCAACCAAAGTGAAAAGTTCATGTTCACTGGTCATTAGGAAGAGAACTCAGTCTCAGTGGCAAATGCTCTTGCTTGGCATGTGCAAGGATCCTGGGTTGGATCCCCAGTACCAGAAAGGGAAAAAAAAAAGTAAGAGTACTCAGAACATTCTTGCCACAGCAGTGGGTAGAAACAATTACCGTAAGAATAATTACTATAACTGACCATTGTTAAAATAACAATATTAAAACTAAAAATCCACAGTAACAAACTGTTTCTAGGTGATTTAACTGTGCAACAATTCAAAGTTAAAGTAGATTTGGAGAAATTAAAAAAAAAATACTTAGTACTCAACAAGGTAAACTGCACAATGTCTGGTTTCTAGCCAAAGATTTCAGGGCAAATAAGGAAAATATGCAACAAAATGAAGAGAAATACTAATCAATAATTAGTAGAACCACATTTCATGTATTCAACAAGTTGTAGAGACATAGAATTTAAAAAAGCAAAACAAACTTTTAGAGATGAAAGTTCTAAACAGAGAGATATTAAAAACAATACATAAAGGCTGGTGTTGTAGCTCAGAGGTAGAGCACTCTCCTAGCATGCATGAGGCACTGGGTTCAATCCTCAGCACCACATAAAATAAAGACATTGTGTTCACTTATAACTAAAAATAAATCAATTAATTTAAAAAATGCATAAGATTACAGAAAAAAAATCACTGAACTTGAATATACATAAAAAATTATCCAAAGTACAATTTTGAAAAAAATTTAAGAGAAAAATAGAAATAAAGAATCAAAAACAAAGGGAAGAAAAGAAAACAAGTGACCTCTCAAATGACATCAAATGGAATTTAAGCAACTCAACTCCAAAAAGAGGAAATCAGAAAAATTCAAAGAAACAAGGCTCCAAATTTTTTCAAATTTAATAAAAATTAACCCAAATATTTTCCCAAGAGACTGCAAGCACAAGAAACACAAAGTTCTCTCAAAACTATGCCATAATTAAATAGCTCAAAATCAGCAAGAGAAATTTTAAAGAAGCCAGAAGAAATAATGTATATTTCATAAAAAGAAAAAAAAATTTTTTAAATGAGAACACACAAGTGAGATGGGAAGCATATTCCCCCAGTCTAGCCTACAGATGAAACTAGAGTCTTGGCTAACACCTTAACTGCAGCTTTGTGMGGCTGAAGCACAGAAGTCACCCAAGTCATGCCAAAATTCCTGATCCAGAGCTACTGGGGGCTAATAAATGTGCATTTTTTTAAAAAGAGATGATGTTGTCTATGGCCAGTATGTAGACTTTGGCAAAATTAATTTACCCATTTTAACAACGGCAAAAAAAAACAAAACCCTATGATCATTTCAATATAATCAGAAAAAGCATTTAGCAATGTCCAACATTTGATTTCTGATGAGAAAAACATCTCTCAACAAGCTAAAAATAGAAAAAATTTCCTCAGGGCTGTGGCTGTGGCTCAGTGGTACAGCGCTTGCCTAGCATGTGTGAGGCACTGGGTTTGATTCTCAGCACCAGATACAATTAAATAAAATAAAATAAAGGCCCATCAACAACTTAAAAAAAAATTTCCTCAATCTCACAAAGAAAATATAAAAAATTCACAGGGCAAAGTGGCCACACACATCTGTTAATTCCAGCATCTCGGGAGGCTGAGGCAGGACAATTAAGAGTTCAAAGCCAGCCTCAGAAACTTAGCAAGGCCCTAAGCAATTTAGCAAAGCTCTGTCTCAAAATAAAAAGGGCTGTGGACATGGCTCAGTGGATAAACACCCTTGGGTTCAATCCCTTGCATCAAAAACAGTCATATCCAGAATATGTAACAAACTTTCAAAACTCTATTAAGAAATCATACAACCTATTAAAAAAAATAGGGGAAAAGTTGAAGACCTTTCACCAAAGAAGTTAAATTAAGACTATGAAAAGACACTTCTTACAACATCATTAATCATGAGAAAAATGCAAAATTAACCACAACGAAATACCCACTACACCTATTAGATTGCTAAAACTATACAGCCTGACTATACAAAGAGTTGGCATGAATGGAAAAACTCTTACACACTGCTGACTTAAAAGTAAAATGAGGGCTGGGGATGTGGCTCAAGCGGTAGCGCGCTCGCCTGGCATGCATGTGGCCCAGGTTCGATCCTCAGCACCACATACAAACAAAGATGTTGTGTCCGCAGAGAACTAAAAAATAAATATTAAAATATTCTCTCTCTCTCTCTCTCTCTCTCTCTTTAAAAAAAAAAAAAAATTAAAAAAAAAAAAGTAAAATGATACAACCACTTTGAAAAATGCTTTAGCAGTTTCTTAAAAAGTTAAGTCTGGGGGCGGGGGTTGTGGCTAAGTAATAAAGCACTTGCCTACATGTGTGAGGCATTGGGCTTAATCCTCAGCACTACATTTAAAAAATTAATTAATTAATTAATTTAATTATTTTTTAAAAGTTAAGTCCATACTACCATATGATCCCATCATTCCTCTCTTAGGTACTTACCCAAGAGAAATGGAAGTGTACATTCGTGCAAAACCTTGAGCACAAATGCTCACAGCAACTTTAGTTGTAATAATCAAAAAACATCCAGATGAAGTGGCACATACCTGTAACCCCAGCAACTTGGGAGGCTGAGACAAGCAGATCATGAGTTCAAAGCCAGCCTCAGCAAAAAGCAAGGCACTAAAAGCACCTCAGTGAGACCCTATCTCTAAATTTAAAAAATAGCTGAATGTGGCTCAGAGTTCGAGTGCCCCTGAGTTCAATCCCTGGTACCAAAAAAAAAAAAAAAAAAAAAAAAGACCAATAGTGAAATGTCTATCAACAGGTGACTGGTAAGCAAACTGTGGTACTTACATACAATGGAAGAATACTCAAAAAAGGAATGAATTAATGATAGACCCACCAACAAAATTAATCTCAAACCAATTATGCTAAGTGAAACACACACACACACCAAAAAAAAAAAAAAAACCAAACTACTGCACAATTCCACTTACATATAATTCTAGAAAAAAACAAATCCATCCTTACTAACAGCAACTCACTGGTTGCCTAGGAAGAGGATGCAGGAACAGGTGTTAAGGATTACAAAGGTACACAAGAAATTTAAGAAGGTGATGTTATGTTCATTTCTTATGAATGATAAGATGTTCCACAGGTGTAAACATACATGAAAACTTATCTTTAAATACACAAAATTAATTGTATGATACCTACACACCACAATAAAGCTTTTAACAATCTACACTGGGAATGGGGGTGTAGTTCTGTGGTATAGTGCTTGCCTAGCATGCACAAGGAACTGGGATCTACCTCAGTTCAGCATTATCACAAAAAGAAAAAAAAAATTCCTGAACTGAATTTTTAAGAATCATACTATGCCAAAGAAAACATTATGAAGTAATTCTAAATATATTAAAAATCAGATGTTAAGCGAAATAAGTCAAACTCAGAAAGCCAAAGATCATGTTTTCTCTCTTACATGAAAGAGAGTAAAAAGGAAAAGAAAGATGGAGGCAGGATATGCAAATCTTGTGAAAAATCAGAGATTAGAATAGAGAAAAGGGACCAGGGATGGGAGGAGGGAAGGGGTCCAGGAAACTCTGGAGAGTGATATTAGCTATATTGTTATACTGCATCTAAATATGAATTTGTAACAACAAATGCCACATTATGTACAACTATAATGTACCATATTTTTTAAAAAAAAAAAAAAGGTAAAAAATAAATCAGGCATCTGCAAGTTAAGCTACAGACCAAATCTGGGCACACCCTTGCTTTTGTGTCATCTTTGGCTGCTTTCCCTACCATAAAAAGAGTTAAGTAGTTGCAAAAGAAATAATATTACCTGCAAAGTCAAAATATTTAACACACTTGTTCTTCAGTATCCCAGGGGACTGTTTCTAGGACTCCCTAAAGATATCAAAATTCAAAGATGCTGAAGTTTCCTTTATAAAATTGTAGATTTTTTGCATATAATCTACTCACATTGTCTCATGCACTTTAAATCATCTCTACACTACTTAAACCCAACAGAATACAAATACTATGTTAAAAGTTGTTACACTGGCCTGGAGTAGTTGGAAGGCTAAGAGTAGAGGATTTCAAGTTTTGAGGCCAGCCTGGGCATCTGAGTGAGACCCTGTCTCAAAAACTAAAAAGGGCTGGGGATGTAGTTTAGTGGTAAAGCAGCCATCGATTCAATCCCCAATACTGCAAATAAGTTGTTATACTATATTGTTTAAATATAAGGACAAAAGGGCTGGTGATGTAGCTCAGTGGCTAGGCACCAGACTAGTCTATGAAAGGGTCTGGGTTCAATTCCAAGTACTGGGTGGGGGACAAAAAAGGACAAGAAAAAAAAATCTGTACATGTTCAATACAGACACATTTTTTCCAAATATTTTTGATCCACAATTGGCTGAATCCACAGATGCAGAAATCACTATTAGAGAGCCAACATATATATACAGCACTTTCAGAAAGTTTGCTGATTTCTGCTACAAATCAAGAGATTATATTATAAAATAAGTGGCATATCAGGCACAGTGGCACATGCCTATAATCCCAATGACTTGGAAGGCTGAGGCAGGAGAATTTCTAAGCTCAAATCCAGCCTCAAGAACTTAGTGAGACCCTGTCTCAAAAAATAAAAAGGGCCAAGCACGGTAGCACATGCCTATAATCCCAGCAGCTCAGGAGGCTGAAGCAGGAGGATCAAGAGTTCAAAGCCATCCTCAGCAACGGTAAGGTGCTAAATAAAATACAAAATATGGCTAGGGATGTGGCTCAGTGGTTGAGTTCCTGAGTTCAATCCTCGGTGACAGAAAGTAAAAATAAAATGGGCTGGGGACCTGGTTCAGTGGTCAAGTGCTTCTGAATCAATCCCTGATACCAAAAATAATTTAAACAAACTAAGTGGCATAAGGTAAAAATTATTAAAAAGAAACACAAATGTGGTAAAAGAATAATGAAGAAGGCTTTCTAGAAAACAAGATAAGCATATGGCTTCCAACCCATCCTATCATAAAACATGCCCTCACAGTCCTTAGGACCAATGAGTTCCACATCTGTAAATTCGACCAACATCAAACTGAAAATATTAAAACAAACAAAAAAAAACTGTATGTACTAAACATGTACAAACCTTTTTTTCCTGTTATTATTCCAAAACAATGCAGTAAAACTACTACATACCATTTCCATTATATTGGGCATTATAAGTAAACTGTGTGCACAAAAGAATATGGCAGAGGGTATCTATAAGCAATATGTAMTTTTATATAAAGGATTTGAGCATCTGTGAATATTGGTATAAGGGGTGAGAGGGTGCTCCTGGAACCAATCCACTATGGATACTGAGGGAAAAAATGTATTCTTTTGAAATCTGGGGAGCAGAGGCATATAATGAATTAAAGAGGTAAATGCAAGTGTGGGAAGCATTTTAATTTCCCTTTTTCTATGTATATTTACATATACCTAAACTCCATATTTGGTACTAAAAAAATTCTTACCTGATCTGTTCAGTTTGTACAATCCCTTCCTTATGACCCTCCAAACGAGCAGCCAATCTCTCTTTATCAAGACGCACACACTCTTCATCCTGGAAATAATCACTGGTTAGTAAACATTTTAAATTCTTATTTTAAAAAAACTTTTTGCAGTGCTAAGAACTGAAGGGCTAAGGGCTTTGAGTATGCTAAGCATGCAGTCTACCATTGAACTTTATATAAAGTTTTATGAAAAAAAAAATCACTGTACATAATTTTTCCTTACAAAATCCTCACCTAATCCTCACCTACACATTTCCATGGAAGTAATCCATGACTTTCATGAACTTTAAGAATACTTTTAGTTACACAAAGAAAACCACAACAAAATATATGCTGGATCATTTAAGACTAGATAGAGCTATGCCAGGCGTAGTGGCCACCGCGTGGAATCACAGTGGCTCAGGAGGCTGAGGCAGAAGGCTCCAAGTTCAAAGCAAACCTCAGCAAAAGCGAGGCCCTAAGCAACTCAGTGAGATCCTGTCTCTAAATAAAATACAAAATAGGACTAGGGATGTGGCTCCATTATGGAGTGCCCCTGAGATCAATAGCTGGTACCCAAAACAAAACAAAACGAAAAGACTAGAACTAACTATAAATGCTCCTTAACTTACAAAGGGGTTCTATTCTGATAAACCCATAATAAATTGAAAATAACATAGACCACAAGTGCATTTAATACACTGACCTTACCAAACATTATAGCTTGATATAACTTACTTAAATGTGCTCAGAATATATCCTCTCACCTACACAAAAACCAACTTTATTATTAAGTGTTGGAGAACAATTATTATTAGTTGAATACTGTGCTAAAAGTGGAACACTTTCAAGTCAATGTGTATGTAACATTTCTGAACCATTAAAAAAGCCAAAAAATTGTCTAGGATCATCTGTAAAAGCTTACCAAAAAAACTTGCTTAGTCATTTATTTCTATGATTAAGTGTTCTTGCCATAATACATCATAACTACTTTTATTCAGAAAGACATCATACAACAAACGACCCTTTATAACTGAGGAAACTAAATATTATGAGAAGCCTTCATCAGAGTCAAAAATTTCATTTTGAATCTAGGGTTTTTTTTTTTTTCCATCTGTTGCCACAAGTCCCAAACCGAGTAAAACTTTAATAGTTTTCAAAGCATGTTCCTTAGCACATTAGAGATTTCTTATAAAGTGTCCCAGGCAACTTCAAGATCTTGACTGACATTTAATTTTGGTAGCTCAAAAAAAAAATTTTTTTTTTTCCATACAGGCAATTAAGCCCAGGTGTACATAACCACTAAGCGGCATCCCAGCCCTTTTTTATATTTTATTTAGAGACAGGGTCTCACTGAGTTGCACTGGACCTCACTAAATCACTGAGGCTGGCTTTGAACTAGTGATCCTCCTGCCTCAGTCTCCTAAGATGCTGGGATAACAAGTGTGAGCCACCACACCCACCACTCTCAGCTAGTTGGTAGCTCAACTTTAATATATATTTATGTATTTCAGGATGTCAGCTAAAATGTCTGAATACTTAACAAGACAAAAATCAATAATTCTAATTTAGTTCCATGCCTATATGCAATAAATARGCAAATGATCAGAGTCCATGTCCAATGGCTAATGAATATGAAATTGTATTAAAAAAAAAAAAAAGCAGAGCCTACTCGATAGATCAAAAAATATGGGGGGCTCCAATTCTTGCACTAACAGTAATCTATCACAGTAATCTATCTTCAAATGGACACATGGGCTGAAATGAATGGAAGGCTATTTTGGCAAATGCATTATATTTTTCTCATTTATAATAAAGGTATATAACCCCTAATAGTCAAGTTCCTTAAGGAACTGCAAATTAAAAGACAATTGCAATCTAGACTTTAATCAAATCAGAAACCCTTCCCTCAAGGTTTCTTTTTCCTGGTATAATGTAATATTCATACACTGAACTAAAACTAAAAATTGCTTAGGTAATGTGTTTATATAATACAATACTACTTTATAAAATGATCTGGAAAAAAATCTATGCTATTTTATGTTGATTTTTCAAGCTACTGGAATCCTAGCAATTTAGCATTTCTAACATGTTCAATTTTTTCAAATAACTAAATTATGATGTTCAGACTTTTCCGATCAAATGATATCCCTGACTTCACTCCCTTTGTCAACAGTCAGTCACAATATTCTCTCATAAATTGAGCAAATTTTCAGTTTTACTGCCATAAAACTTGTACCAAGGGTTAACAGAATAGCTAGGATCCAGAGTACCTTGGCTCTAATACTAGTTCTTCTAACTTTGGCAAATCCCTTCTTTGTTCTGGAGCTTCACACATCAAGCCTAGTACCACACGTCAAGCCTCACACGTCTCAAACCTAGTACCACAAACTTCAAGAGATTGTGGTGAAGTTAAATGAGTAAATACACATGAAGTATTTAGACTATCCCCTAGCACATAGCAGTAACAATGAATCAGTTATCATTTTTGTCATTATGTGAAATATATCAAGTCTGTGTTTCAGAATATACCTAATTAAAATTACATTATTTTAGCATCAATTTTATCACTGATAGCACTATATATAAATTACCAACCAATCCTGTCCCTTCAAGTTACCTTTCTTATCTTTAATTGTGGATGCTTTACTATCCATATAGCAGACAAAAATATACATATTTGTTCTAGTTGTAGATGAATACAATACCTTTATTTTATTTGTTTATTTTTATGTGGTGCTGGGGATTGAACCCAGTGCCTCACACATGCTAGGCGAATGCTGTGCTACTGAGCCACAACCCTGTGCCCTGCCCCTTATAAAAGGTTTTATGAGATAGTGGTAGGCCTTTGGGTCCTAGTTTGCCTATCCCTAGAATAAGGTGGTATGGGAATTTGCTCTACTCTTCAGAGCTGTGAAGTGCTTACTTCATTAAAATACTGACTTAATGGGTTTCAGATTTCTTGTAGCACTTTAGCTAGCAAATAGAATATTAATATTGCTTAATATTCCTTAAGGAATGTTAAGGATAGTTTACATGAAATAGAAGCCACATAAGAAATATACTTATGGGACTGGGGCTATAGCTCAGTGGTAGAGTGCTTGCCTGGCACGCATGAGGCCCTGGGTTTCATTCCCAGCACCACATAAAAAATGAAAAAAATCAAAAGTTGTTTAAATATTTTTAAAAAGTATTAAAAAACAAATACATAAAAAATAGTTATTTTTACAGATCTACTGCATAACACAATGACTATAGTTAATAAGTGTATTATACTTTAAAACTGCTGAGTAATTTTTCTTTGAAAACTGCTAAAAGGAAGTTTTTATTGTTCTCATTACAATGATAAGTGTGTGAAGTAATGTAAGTATTAATTAGCTCAAATGAGTCATGCCGCAGTGTAGAAGTATTTTAAAACATAATACTATTTATAATATACAGTTTTTGCCAACTAAAAAAATTCAGTTCTCTTTGGAAAGAAAATTAGTTCTGATAAAAGTCTAAAATAAGAACATTCATGGTTTCTAGCAATATTAATTAATACCACTGATGGAGACAAGTGTTATCTCTTCAATGTTAATTGACAGATGATAGGTTCAATCATTTGTTTAATTAAGATTAAGATTAAGCATTCCTCTAGAGTGTTAATCGCCATTTCAGGGGGTTTTATATGCAACAGATATGGAACTTCTTAAAAATTTACAAAAAATAAGAACATAATAATATAATTAAAATCCAGAAAAACAAAACTTCTAGGATTACTACAAACAACTCTTGTTACCAAACAATCTCAATTTCAGAAACAATATGAATGATCTTTAAATAAATTCTATTACCTCAATTCTTGGTTTCTTTGCTTCTGCTAAAACTTCATCTGCAGCTCGTTTGACTTTAAGAAAAAGAGAAGTAAATAAATGTATAGTTTTGGGATGGATTTGTGAAAGTTCAAATAAAGATGTGACAAGGCATACCTTGAGTGGATCGCTGAAGACCTATTTCTAGAGGGGCACTTCTGTCTATACTTGCTGATGTTGCTGAAAAATTAAAAAACATTCATATAAACAGATCAATATTTAAACACATATTGGATTTTATTACAAGTAAAATTCACAAGCTTTGTCATAGTTTGTATTTCTGTGTGGCGACTTACTCCAAAAAAAAGTAAATTTTAAAGCATTATTGTAGAAGTATTTTATAAAAAGATTAATCTGTATTAGAAAGCTTATGAGAACAAACTATTCTTAATAATTTAGCTTACATATTACTGAGATGAACTGCTTCAAAGACTATACTTCAGAATCACAACACATGTACATTAAAAAGTTTACCTAAATATAAATATGATCACACATATATGAGGGTAAGTTTTTTAAGTTAACATTCACGTTAAACATGAAATCTTTAATTCTTTACAATTGGTAGAAAACTTTCAATTACCTTTTGAATTATTTGGGGACGGGGTAGTGGGGATTGAACTCAGGAGTACCGGGCCACTAAGCCACATCCCCAGCACTGTTTTGTATCTTATTTAGAGACAGGGTCTCACTGAGTTGCTAAGCACCTCGCTTTTGCTGAGGTTGACACTAAGCTGCTAGGATTGTGTGTGCCACTGTGCCCAGCTTGAATTATTATAATTTTTTAAAGCATTTTTTTAACCTTTATTTTATTTATTTACTTTTATGTGGTGCTGAGGATCGAACCCAGTGCCTCACACTTGCTAGGCAAGCACCCTACCACTGAGCCACAACCCCAGCCCCTTGAATTATTTTTAATGACTCAATAATGAAACTGTCCCCCTCGACCTAGATTCTACCATCCTATATAACCATTGGTTGTGCTTATATATCTCTCTAGAGTTTCTTTCTGTAGATATAAGAAATACAAAATTTTACTTTTATTTTAACCTTTTATTCTGACAAAATATTCTGAATCTTACTTTTCTGTTTACATAACAGTATTCTCTCTTACATTCTTCCACATCAGCATATAGGGCATTTCTTTAACTCTTTTCTTTACAACTACAGTAATGCTATTGTATGGATTATAATTTATTTAACCAATTCCTTGCAGATGAGCAGTTCTAACAGTCTTCTGTCATTACCAACAATGGTAAAATGAAACTATATATATGTCACTAAATACATTTTCAAATATGCCTCCAGGATAAAGTTCCAGATATAGGATTTCTAAGTTAATTTTGTGGTGACAGACTGCCAACATCTTCAACAAGGGTTGTAATTATTGAGATTATAAATAACAATGCAAAATGTTTCCTTACAGTTTGACTAGAGCATATTATTAAAATGTTAGGTTAAAAAATGCTATTTTTGTTAAACATTTSTAGCAAGTAGAGAAATGCAAATCAGAACTACTCTAAGATTTCATCTAACTCCAAACAGAATGGGAATTATTAGAATACAGATAAAAATAAATGTTGGCAAGGATGTGCGAAAAAGGTACACTCATACATTGGTGGTGGGACTGCAAATTGGTGCAATCACTAGGGAGAAAGCAGTACAGAGAGTCCTCAGAAACATGGAATGGTACCACCATTTGAACCCACTGCTTGGTTTATACCCAAAGGACTTAAAATTGGCATATTACAATGATACAGACACATCAATGTTTATAGTAGCTCAACTCACAACAGCTAAATTATGGAATCAACTTAGGTGTCTTTCAACAAATGAAAGGATAAAGAAAATATGGTATATATACACAAAGGAATATTACTCAGCCTTAAGAAAAATGAAATTATGGCATTTGCAGGTAAATGGATGAAGCTGAAGAATATCATGCTAAGTGAAATAAGCCAAATCTAAAAACCAATGGCCAAATGTTTTCTCTAATAAGCAGATACTGATCCATAATGGAGTGGGGTAAGGAAGAGTAAGGGAACTTTGAATTGGGAAGAGAGGAGTGTGGGGAGGGGAAGGGGTTTGACGGTGGGAAGGATGGTGGAATAAGATAGATATTATCACCCTATACACATGTATGATCACACTATACCAGAATGACTCTGCACCATGTACAGCCATAGGAATGAGAAGTTTGCTCCATTTGTAGACAATGTGTCAAAATGCATTCTACTTCATGTATAACTAATTAGAACAAATAAAAAATAAGCTAATTTTTTTTTAAAAAGAATACAAGTAAAAATAAATGTTGACGAGGATGTGGGGAAAAAGATACACTCATATATTGGTGGTGGGACTGCAAATTGGAGCAACCATTATGGAAAGCAGTATGGAAAATTCCTCAAAAAACATGGAATGGAACCACCATTTGACCCAGTTATCTCTCTCCATCTATACCCAGAGGACTTAAAATCAGCATACTATAGTGATACAGCCACATCTAAGTTTACAGCAGCTCAACTCACAATAGCTAAACTATGAAACGAACCTAAGTGCCTTTCAACAGATGAATGGATAAAGAAAATGTGGTATTTATTCACAAGTGGAATATCCTTTGCCTTAAGGAAGGACAAAATTATGGCATTTACAGGTAAATGGATGGAGCTGGAGAACATCTAGCTAAGCAGAATAAGCCAATCTCAAAAAAACCAAAGGCTGAAGGTTTTCTCTAAATTGCAAATGCTAATTCACAATGGGGGGGGGGGGCTAGGGAAAAACAGAAATACTTTGGACAAGGCAGAGGTGAAATGAAGGGATGGGAGGGGAAATAGGAGTAGGAAAGACAGTAGAATGAATCAGACATTAATACCCTCTGAGCATATGACTACATACGTGGACAATATATGTAGAGGACTGAGAAGGAACCAGAAGAATGAGAAGCTATATCATAACTTACGTAGGATGTGTCAAAATGCATCCTACTGTCATGTATAACTAATTAGAATAATAATTTTTTAAATATCTTTGAATAGTTTGTAATTGATTTTTGAAAGAAATTAGCATATTTACCATATTTTCTTTGGATTAGTGAACTGTATGACCGAAATTCATGGTTTTAAGTCTCTTTTGGTACATATTTCCAGAACAACTTCATATATTAGTTGAGACAGTTTTTTTTTCTAATAAAATTTGAAATATTTCTTATCAGTTTGTCAAGTCTTTTATTAAAATACATAACTTTTTTACCTTTACCAAACTACTAACTGAATAATCCCACCTTTTCCCCAGTGATTTGACATGCCTCTTTCTACTCATGTTAAATTAACATATGTACTTCTAATCCTACAGATTAAAAACTGTTTATTAGTTTATCAACTCTCAGTTCTTAAATTATTAGGGCTTTGTTAAAACTTCCAAAATCTAAATTAACTAGTTTTTTTCTCTTGCTCTTCCACAATTTTTTAGGATATTTCACCAAACTTTAAAATTACCTTGTCTACTTCTACCCCTCTTTAAGAAAAACTGTTTGGATTGTTACAAATGCCAAGTGAAGAAAGACTTTCAAAAATGGGAGTGGTTAATAGTAACAAATGTGTTGACAGGTGGAGAAAGGTAAGGGAGCCCAATGGATAGCATAAGTCTCTGCTGACCTTAGAATGATTTCAGTAGGACGGCATCAATAAAAGTCACACAGGAGTGACTTCAAGAAACAATCAAGATAAAGAAATAGCAAAGAACTTTGCAAAGAATTTTTGCAGTAATAGAGACAAAACAAATGGACCAGCAGATAAAACCTGAAGTCAAAAACATTTTTTTTAATGAGATATTTTACTATATGTATTCTAAAAAGTAATGATGCAGAAAAAAGGAGAAAACTGATTGAGGCAAGACAGAAACAATAATTTACACAAGTAAAGTCTTTTGAGAATATGAAAAAAATCCACATACAACAGGGATTACTAGCCTTAGAGACAAAGCATAATCACTATAACTAGAAAGAGGAACATATGAACAGAGCTATGCTATTTATTTTTTTTAGTGGGAATATAAATTTTCCAATACTTATTTCATGGGGGGAACAACTGCTACTTAACAATTGCTACTTAAGAGTGAACAATTTAGGGAGCTGGGGTTGTGGCTCAGTCTTAGAGCACTTGCCTCACACATGTGAGGCACTAAGTTCAATCCTTAGCACCACATAATAATAAATAAATAAATGTTTTATGCCCATCTACAACTAAAAAATAATTTATTTATTTTTTTAAATATTTATTTATTTATTTTTTTAGTTATCGACAGACACAACATCTTTGTTGGTATGTGGTGCTGAGGATCGAACCCGGGCCGCACGCATGCCAGACGAGCGCTCTACCGCTTGAGCCACATCCCCAGCCCCTAAAAAATACTTTAAAAAAAAAAAGAGTGAGCAATTTAAAAGGTACTTACATGCTTCACCATTGAGATATCCAAGAAGATCTTTTCGGTCAGGTCTTCTAACCACAGGAATATTTTCAGTCTGAAACCAAAATTTTAAATTACATATTAAATAGATAACAACTATATAAAAGCTGATAAGTTCAAATGATCTCTGAATTTATTCCAATATCTTGATAACATTAAAATCAGATTTGTAAAAAAATATGCTAAGCTAAAAGAACCTAAAAATCTTGAAAAATTTTTTAAATGTTTATTTTTAGTAATTTTATTTTGGAAATTCCAGGAAGATGTATTAAAGATAATTATTAGAAAGGAAACAGTAACTCTCTTTTCAAAATATTAATTTCAGTCTTTTTTTTCCTCATGGCTTACTCTAGGTCCTTATTTTTTTTAACTGCATTCAAGAGGTCTGCAAGTCAGACTAATAACTTTTAGTCTGGTTTCTCAGTTTATGCACCATCTCAACAGTGCTTTCTTTTCTCACACAAAAACCAGGCCTCTTCAAAATATTCAGCATGACCTCTTCCAAATAAACTGAATTAGCCACTAAAACTAAATTTTCATAATTAACAATATGCACATGTTGTTTAGACAGGAGAAAAGCACAGGCGATTATACAGAAAAATGTATGGTGGTTGTTTACCTTCTACATATTTCTTTTTATCCTTGAGTATGTATAAATTCTGTAAATAGGGGGGGAAAAAAGATTAAAAAATGAACCTGAAAAAATGTATCCATTTCAGAAAAATGGATAATTTTCCTTTACTAACCTACATTATCAAGATGTAAAGAGGTGAGCAAATAAAACTGTATAGTTCAGGTAAGAATAACTTTTGGGCCAGGAAATTAATGAATCCTATCGCTACCACAACTGCTATATCATTTTTCTAATGTTAACAGTGTAAGAAAAAAATGATGGCAAATTGATTATACAGGTTTAAATCCTTTGTCCATGTATAACAAAAACAAAGAAGTAATAAGAACCCTTAATATCTTTTTTTTTTTTAAAGAGAGAGGGAGAGAGATAGAGAGAATTTTTTTTTAATATTTATTTTTTAGTTTTCGGCCAACACAACATCTTTGTTGTATGTGGTGCTGAGGATCGAACCCGGGCCGCACGCATGCCAGGCGAGCACGCTACCGCTTGAGCCACATCCCCAGCCCAAGAACCCTTAATATCAATGGCCAATTATTTCACAATGAATTGATTACATTTCACTATGCCAAACATTCTGTACTTACATCTTGATTACTTAGTTGAATATTTAATCACTTAAAAATTATTCTTTTTTTCCCCCTAAAAGATCACGCTAAATTTTCATTTCTCCTTAGGAGTATAAAACTTTTAAAGTCCATGGGTTTTGTGTGTGCATGTTTACAGGTTTTTTCCCCCAAATCAGTCATCATGGAATATTATAGTTTAAAATATTTGAATTAATTTTCTTCAAATTACTGTTTCTAAGTTTAATAATATACTTCATTGCTTAGTCACTACTGAATTACATACACATTATAGCCAACTAAAAGACATAAGTCTACACATACTAAAATATGAGCCAGGGGCCTGGGGTTGTGACTCAGTGGTAGAGCACTTACCTATCATGTGTGAGGCACTGGGTTCAATCCTCAGCACTGTATATGTACATATATTTTTTTTTCTTGTTTAAAGTAAGTAAATAAAAATAAAATAGCAGCCAGAATACTTATTTCAAGAATGGTCTGTTCACACGAAAAAGCAAATAACATCAAGAAATCAGAAAAGTGGAGCCCTGGAATTTTAGAATTCTACACCTCTAATTTGAGAAATATTTAAGAAAAACAAAATTGTAATCTTATGTGACCAAGATCCACAGTAATAATAACTATCCATTAATTATACTCTACAACCATTCTAAAAGAACATGATCCATAAATCTAAACTGAATGCTTAAAACACCTTTATTATTCCAAAATAAATGGATATATCAAAAAAAAAAAAACACTCTAATTTCTGCCTAACTCAATTTTTAAAGATGATACAAAATATCTTTACAGAGATGCCAATATTTTTCTCCAATATTTACCAAGTATAAGTATTTAACACTGAACATGTATATATGTATATCTGGCTCAGAAAAGCAGAATCTATGGTTTAATTCTTATAAAAACCTATCAGATGAAATGATACCTTCTTCTCAACTGCTTTAAGTAGCAAGTTATTATTTAAGATACCATGCATAAGTCAGTAATTTCAACTATTAGTTAGAAAGGAGGGAAAATTTATAAAACTAAATTTTACACAGATAAAATGCAACTAGGGGCTGGAGTTATGGCTCAGTGGTAGAGCACTTGCCTAGCATGTGTTGTGAGGCACTGGGTTCGATTCTCAGCACTGCATATAAATAAGTGAATAAAATAAAGGTCCATTACAGGGGCTGGGAATGTGGCTCAAGTGGTAGCGCACTCGCCTGGCATGCATGCAGCCCGGGTTCAAGCCTCAGCACCACATACAAACAAAGATGTTGTATCCGCCGATAACTAAAAATTAATATTAAAATTCTCTCTCTCTCTCTTTAAAAAGAAAAAAAAGGTCCATTACATCTAAAAAAAAAAATTTTTTTAATGCAAACTAGCAATAACTCAAAAGCTCTAATGATGACATGAAGATATTTATGAAGCTTGATAAAACCATTTAAAACTCTAAGAAATGAAAAAGTATTTATAAATTAATACATTTCAATAAAGTAGTACTTGTAAGAATGTTAAAACAATATTGTAAGCAGATATTTAATTATTTCAGTATCTCAAAAAATATATCAAATTCTATCAAAAAGAATCTGTGGGCTTAATTTTAAAAACTGAGTATTATCATTTGGGGGCATTTTATTTAGGTATTTATAGCAATTTGCAATGCCACACAGCTATCATACCCAAATAACTCTGAAATCTATTATCGATTGTAATAAAGAACTTCCCTAGAATGTCATCATCACAGCCTCTATGAAATTAATTATTTTCAAATTGTTTCTAAAGATTTGTATCTAAGTAAAAGATTTTCAAATACTGAGAAAGCAAGCAAAACTGAAAACAAATGAATTTATCAAGTATGAAAATAACTGCTAAATTAATTAATTCTAAAACAATGTCTGTTAATACTTTTATGACCAAAATAAATTTTTTCCCAAAACATCAGGATCCTTCCCACATCTTATAAATTTTTATAAAAACATCTCTATAAATACCTTTATAACTTCTCTTGTTATAAAATGATGTGTATTTCACATTAAAAAAACACAGATTAAAAAATTTGTATTAATCATAAAGTAGCCAAATTTTAATCCTCCAGGAAACTTATACGTTTGTGATCCATGAGGTAAATTATCCATGCCAAACTATACCTATAAACATTAAGTTAAAAAACAAGTTTTAAAATAAACCCTACTTACAGCTGCACGACGGACATAAACAGGATGAGAAAGGTGCACATTATTAAGCAGAAATAAAATGGAATCCAAAGTGTAGTACTCTCTGGGTTGGCCTTCCTTTCCAGTCCTGAAATAATTAAAGCAAAATTTTTATTCACAATTTAAATTCAATTATTTGGGCTAAGGTACATGTATTGATTCATCTTTACCCACTTGACCATCCAACAATGTACTTAACATAGCTAACGAAAATACACATAACAGGGGCTGAGGCTGTAGCTCAGTGAAAGAGCACTTGCCTAACAAGTGTGAGGCACTGGGTTCGATCCTCAGCAACACATAAAAAATAAAATCAAATAAAGGCACGCTGTCCATCTATAATTATAAAAATAAATAAGTAAATAAATAATAAAAAATACACAAAAATGTCTGAAGCAGTAGCACATGCCAGTAATCCCAGCTGGGGAAGCTGGGAAGGCTTGGGATAATGGGATCAACACCAGCTTCAGCGAGGCCTTATACAACTCAATGAGACCCAGTTTCCTAAATAAAATATTTTTAAAAGGCTGAGTATGTGGCTCAGTGGTTAAGTGCCCCTGAGTTCACTTTCCAGTACCAAAGGAAAAAAAAAAAGCAAAAACAAAGCCCCTAAATTATACAATCTACTAAGTGTAATGTCAGGAAAGCAAAAAGAACACAAAGGAAGGCAATAACAAAATGCAAGAAGTAGGGAAAGCACACACATTTTTACTCTAAAGAACAATACAAACTTTTTAGAACTGGACCCAAATTAGGATCCGGGCTTTATCAACAGAGAAAAAAACCTAATCATTTGCCACCAAGTATGCATGTAATCCCAGCGGGAGGCCAAGGCAGGAGGATCATGAGTTCAAAGCCAGACTCAGCAATGGAGAGGCCCTAAGCAACTCAGTGAGACCCTATCTCTGAACACAATATTAAAAAGTGCTGGGAGCTGAGCTGGGTGCAGTGGCACTTGCCTGTAAATACCAGCAGCTCAGGAGCCTGAGGAGACTCAGCAATGAAGAGGCATTAAGCAACTCATTGAGACTCTGTCTCTAAATAAAATACAAAAAAGGGCTAGGGATGTGGCTCAGTGGTTAAAGGCCCCTGGGTTCAATCCCTGGTACCAAAAATAAATAAATATCAGTTACAGAACAGAGGATCCTTAAGAGAAAACAAATTGTAATAAAACAATACAGTCTACAGGAACAAGTTCTCCAACGTTGTCACCTATGGGTAAGCTGCTCTAGAAGATCACCTATTTATAGCTGGCCAAACCTAAGTGGGGCCATACTTTGTGTTCAGTGCCTGAGAAACTGGGGCTATATATAACTAACTTAATGGCCAATCCCACCCTTTACCCTATTTCAAAAAGTCACACAGCTATGAAAGATTTTTCAGCAAGGAAGCAGACCAAAATGCAAAGGGGGGGGGGGGGTGTGCTAGGGATATAGCTCAGTTGGTAGAGTGCTTGCCTTGCATGCACAAGAGAGTGCTTGTCTTGCATGAACAAGGCCCTGGGTTCAATCCCCAGCCACCACAAAAAAAAAAAAAAAAAGCAAAAGGTATGGAAGATGGAAAGAGATGGGTATTCAATCCCACCTTTCCCTCTACATCTACCCATCATAATTCAAATGTACTATTTGAATTCATTTGAACACGGCCCACTATAACCAGTCCCCAATTGGACTTTTCTACCATCTCTATATTATTTCAAACCACACCTCACTTATTACTGTACAAAGAAATTTCAGTTTTTCCTTATGATAGAGTAAAAATAACAATGCACTGCATGCAATAAGGGTATGTAATGTTCTATACATACGTACATCTTTACAGGTGTACATACACATATAGAAAAGGAAAATTTCTCAGTGATTCACTGCTGAAAAGTCTGAAATCTGTTTTAAGCATTCCTTTTCACTGCCTTCAATRAAGTGCTGTCAAAACATGTTCTTTTCAGCCCTTATGCCTTTAGTATACAGCTCTGTCATCCTGAAGGACTAATCCGTCACTTTTTTTTTTTTTTTCCTTCAAAGAAGTTAGTTTTTGTTTGGAGGGAGTACTGGGAATTGAATCCAGGTTTGTGGGCTTAGTAGGCAAGCACTCTACCTCTGAATTACATCCCTAGACCTCCTTTAACTCAGAACTCTTACCCATTCTGGGTGGAGGTAAGGTGATGGGGATTGAACTCAAGGGCACTTCACCACTGAGACACAGCTCCAATCTTTTAAGACAGGATCTCGCTAAATTGCCCAGGCTGGCCTAGAACTTGCAATCTTCCTGCCTCAGCCTCCAGAGTAACTGGGATTTCAGATGTGAGCCACTGTGCCTGGGTTTTTACCCATTCTGTAAAGCTTACTCATTTGTCCATGCATTCATTCAAAAAAGCTCAGTGGGATGCAAATATGTCACATACTTCTATGAAAACTTCCTTAAAATACCTGTAACTAGAAGTAACTGTTCTGAGATAGAAAGCCTTTCACAAGTCACTTATTCTTATCTCTTCTACTTGGATTAATTCTTCTGAGTCAGGAGCCAGGGTTTCAGGAATTTTTCTATTCCTTGAATTAAACTGCCCTAAACCCTGAATATTTGTTATTAATTTTATATACATGTACACACATATATATACACATACACACACACACACACACACACACACACACACACACACACACACATATCCCCTTTAAAAATCCAATCAAGGGCCAGCCTTTTTGGTTGTAGATCATGGTAAAGCACTTGACTAGCACATGTGAGGCACTGGGTTCGATCACCCACACCACATAAAAGTAAATAAATAAAATAAAGGTAGTGTGCATATGTATCCATCTACAACTAAAAAGTGTTTTTTTACTTCAATCAGATACTGCTTATGCAATTATCTTCAAAGGGTAAAACAAGAAATTCAGAATGGCATTTAACCAATATTTCATAAAGCTTATGAAATAAGAAGGCTAAAAGAAATCCCTTAAATTTCCCAGTTTTTCATCAACTCTCCATAAAGCCCTTTCCACTCAAACAAAATGAATAGGAAAGTTCTGGTCTAAAGGTCAAATTACCAAAATGAAGCATCAATAACAGTGATCAATCATTAAATGATTATTAAAACTGTATCTAGATGTTTTCCTGAACGACTTAAAATTCACTAGACCCCACGTAGCATGCATGGATTGACGTCCCAACACATTTTTCTTGAATACACACTTTCCAAAACCACACACCATTATTTTCTTAAATCTGTAAAGCTCATTTCATTTGATCAGTAACTTTCTAACTGAAAAACTCCTGTTTTCCTCTCTAGCACTGGTTTTGATGATTACTGCAAATTAACCAACTCTTTCCCATCTTAGCTTCACGCAGTCGTGCCCTTCTCTCTTCCTGAGGAATAACACCCTCCCCAATTACTAAGGAAGAAGAAACCGATCAGGAGCTGCAAAAGCCACCTGAGACAGAACACATGGCAGTCTCAAAGAAAATTTTAAGAACAAAAAGGCACGTCTCCGGCAGCAGACGGTGTGCTCCTTTGTGCACTTACGTTCAGGTACACTTGTGCACCAGCCCTACACGTTGCTGGTACTTGATACATACTGGGGGGAAAAGAACTGGTAAAGTCACAAACTCCCACGTTCCCGTTCCCTTTGGCTTCCCAAAGATTTAAAGGGATGGACCGCTCCAGACAGTTCCTCCTCTTCCCTCCTCACCCTAAAAGTGCAACTTGGGCTCTAGAGAGAAACTTTTTCCCAGAGCACCCGTTTATCCCCCATCCCCAAGGGAAACAGGGGGAGGGGTGAGGAAAGAGGTCGCCTGGGGGCGCCCAACACCCCTAGGCCGAAGCCAAGCCGGACTTACCCCCAAACTACATAGTTGGTCTTCACATTCTTGGGCCAGGAGAACTCTCCGAAGATCACTTCGTCTCCCTTCACCACAATCTCCTTCTTCTGGATGTTGTACTGTCGCAGGACGCTGAGCACGTCCGCCATCTTCCCCCCCCTCGCCGCCGCTGGCCCCGGGCGCCGCCGCCACCACCGCTGCGCCTGCCTCCCTCTTCCCCGGTCGCCTCGCCCTCTTCCTCCTCCTCCTCCTCCGCCGCCGCCGCGAACCAACAGCAGCAGAACTAACAGCCGTCCTCGCCTACGACAGCAGCAGGGGCAGTAGCCACCCAGGCCGCCAAGGACCCCGCGCTAGAAGGCAAGGCCCCGCCGCTGGCTGCCCGCGGAGAACGCCTGACTGCGCGCCTCCAGCGCCTCACGGCTGCCACCAGGGGGAGCCGCGACTGCCCGGGAAAATGCCCCTCCCAGACTCCTCCTCCACACCGAGACGAATGCCTGAACCGCGCTGCGCACCAACACCGCGCCCACGTACCGCGCGCGCACGGGAACACTGCCGGGCGCGCTCACTCGGAGGCGACAGGTGCGCGCGCACCTGCGCGGCCGTTCCGTACTTCCATCCCTAGAGCGCGCACTGAGTGTTCGACGACCTGTGCTGCGTGAGGCCGCCGGCCCCCGGGCCCTCGCTGGCGACGGTGGGGCTCCGCAGCGTTTGCCATCGACTGGAATCGCCTGTCTAYGTCGGACCCACTTCTAAGACGGATCCACTTCTAGCAAAAGACGTGTTGGGCTTTGGTGTTTCTGGATCTGGTGTTTAGTCTTCGTTTTTGTATTTTTTTTTTTTTCTCTTTGCAGAGTGGAAAAAGACCAAGTTCGGTGGAATACACTTTTGACACCATATTTGTTAGTGGTTTTGACCTTATAGCAGCTGTAGGTTAATGGAGAAAAATGGGATTAATACGAGAACAAGGTGAAAGCGTCTAAACAAGTTAACAAACTATCATAAAATATTTGGGTTTTCCCGCCCCTTTCCTTAGAGGATAACTTTTTCTATCCTGGTCCCTACTCCCAGCCATTCGCAAAGGACTAGAAATGGTTCCAAATTGTAAACGGGAAACCTACTCTGACAGAAACCTCAAACTATACTAATTAAAATACTTTTGGACAACTCAAATTTTTGAAATCACGCTCAGAAGATTCAGTGGTGTCCTTGAAGAACTGGGAACATTTAACTAAATTCAATATAGCAGTGCYTTACCGACATATCCCATGGTCCCCCCTCTCCCAACCCCCACCTTTATTCCTCTTGTTACAGTAGAAGAGGGGAAGGCAACTTTGTGACAAAACAATGCCTTGACCGGTTTTGGAAAAATACATATATTTTTATGTGCAGCAAATAACCCTATATATACAGAAGTATGTGGGTGGTTTCATATACCATGTTTGGCTATTTTGCAATTGTGAACTGAGAAATTTTGTCTGTTCCAGGAATGTTTTCAACCCAGTATTTTCTTTTTTTTTTATTTTTTTTATTGGTTGTTCAAAACATTACAAAGCTCTTCATATTTCATACATTAGATTCAAGTGGGTTATGAACTCCCGTTTTTACCCCAAATACAGATTGCAGAATCACATCGGTTACACATCCAAATTTTTACATAATGCCATATTAGTAACTGTTGTATTCTGCTACCTTTCCTATCCTCTACTATCCCCCCTCCCCTCCCATCTTCTCTCTCTACCCCATCTACTGTAATTCATTTCTCTCCTTGTTATTTTCCCATTCCCCTCATAACCTCTTATATGTAATTTTGTATAACAATGAGGGTCTCCCTCCATTTACATGCAATTTCCCTTTTCTCTCCCTTTMCCCCCCACCTCATGTCTCTGTTTAATGTTAATCTTTTCTTCCTGCTCTTCCTCCCTGCTCTGTTCTTAGTTGCTCTCATTATATCAAAGAAGACATTTGGTATTTGTTTTTTAGGGATTGGCTAGCTTCACTAAGCATAATCTGCCCTAGTGCCATCCATTTCCCTGCAAATTCCATGATTTTGTCATTTTTTAGTGCTGTGTAATACTCCATGTCAACCCAGTATTTTCTTGAGCCCCCCCCAAATACGCATACTATAAAGAACTGACTGCTCTTGTCTATCCCACAAACTTTTTATTCATACCTATATGAGAACACAGAGTATGTCTTGGCTTCCTTGTTGATTGACTTGTCTTCCTCCTCATATACAAAACTAAGGAAGAAACAGACCTGTTTCCACAGGTATGCTAATGTCTAACACATTCTTTGGTACATAATAGGCAGGTTGGATAGAGTCTCAGTAAATGGTGAAGTAATAAGCAGGATGAGTTCAAGCAATTTAAAGTTACATGATAGAGTAAGTCTCTCAAAATGATAATTTATTTTATTTCATATACAGATAATGTCCAAGCCATCTCCTTAAAATTACTTCACTAGGCTCCCAGCCAGTTGGAGGCCATCCTCAGCAACTTGATAAGACCCTGTCTCAAGAATTAAAAAGGGTTGAGGGTGTAGCTCAGTGGTAGTGCACCCCTGGATTCAATCCCCAGTACCCTCCCCACACACAAATTGACTCCTAATGTGGGTTTAATGAGAATATAAAAATGCAATGAAAGGTAATATTAGTAGTAGAGATGAAAATTTAAAAAAATTAATAAGAAAAAGGTAATCTCATTTGTTTGCCTTGGGCAAAAGTTGTTCATTTCTCCAGTTATGAACTCTGGAACAATACTATGAGTTCTCCTCATAGAATGGATGAGCATCCATCAGAAAATATCATGTATTTTGGGAAATAGTGGATCCAAGATCACTAAATGGAATTTTACCACTTCCTCAGTTGCAAACAATACCTGTCCTTTCCAGAAATGTTCAGGTTTTGTTTTATTCTGATGCATTTTTCAAATGACAAATTCCTAAGGATTAGATCGTATAAGGTCTGTTTAGATAGGCATTTGGGAAATGCAGTTTGAAAGTGAAACTAGAGATAGTATAAGTCTCATACTGCTCAAGGGAACGATACACCAAGAAGACATAACAATCATGAATGTATATGCCCCAAACAATGGTGGGCATATTACATTCATGATATCTTCTCAAGTCGAAGAACCAAATTGACCATAACACAATAATCTTGGGTGATTTTAACACACCTCTCTCACCACTGGATAAATCTTCCAAACAAAAGTTGAATAAAGAACCTATAGAACTTAATAATACAATCAATAACTTAGACTTAACTAACATATATAGATTATTTCAACCTGCATCAAGGGGATACACATTCTTCTCAGCAGCACATGGATCCTTCTCTAAAATAGACCATATAATATGCCACAAAGCAACTCTTAGCAAATACAAAAAAGTAGAGATACTACCATGCATTTTATCAGACCATAATGGAATGAAATTGGAAATCAATGACAAAATAAAAAATAAAAATTTCTCCAACACCTGGAAACTAAACAATATGCCACAATGGATTGCAGAAGACATCAAGGAGGAGATTAAAAAATTCTTAGAGGTAAATGAGAACCTAGACACAACATATCGAAATCTCTGGGACACTATGAAAGCAGTACTTAAGAGTAAAGTTCAGAGGCCATTAGGTGGAATCCCACCAGCCAAGCCCACACGGACCCTTGGGCCGAGCATGGGTTCTCAGAAGGGGAAGGAAGCGGTACAGTCCCATCCCCCACAGCGGACACTCCGCCGAGGCA